GTTAGGCCTAGGGCCACTGGGGCTCTATTGCCAGGGGAAAAAAAATAAAGAAACCTATAATTGAATTCTGTAGTTAATTTGCAGAACTTCTCCACGCATTATTCTTTACATCCGCAATTACTTCACCCTCTTATGTCCAATTACTTTCCGTAAAAGATAAAAAGAGAACGAAAGTCATCCCTGTAACCGGCCGTGGTGGCCCATAGGCTTTTGAGACGTCGAGGCTCCCACATTTTCCAGACAATCGGTAGTTATTCGTTGCAAATATCGGCAATTCAAATTCTGCTTCGACGCTACGAGATTATGACAATATTTAATTTAAAAATCAATGAGATATTTCTTGGCTGTCTAAAATATTTTTCTGGTTGCTGCATCAGCTAACAGTGGCGTAGTTTATTACAGCATGATTATTTTTTTTCCAGTGGCTCTTCCAGCCTATTCAAGCCCCTGGCCTCTTATTCAGTTCCGTAATCATTTTTCACAGACGGTAGGACTCAATGGACGAGCGATCAGCTCTTCGCAAGACCGCTACCTGAACACAGGAGAACACAAACACAGAATAAACGTGTACACACACTAAACATCCATGACTTTTGTCGGTTTCGAACCCACGAGCCAAGCTCTCGAGCGAGAGAAGACAGTTCACGCCTTAGGCCGCGAGGCCACTGTGACCGATCTGATTAGATAATTACTATGTTATATCCAATTTTTAAGACACGATGGGAACCAAGGTCACTATATCGGAGGCCCTGCCGAATACACATGACTTCTCTTCCATTATATGACGTACGTTGAAAGATGGTTTGGACAGAGTACTGGTCTCTTCTTAGTAGCCGGGATAGTGTAGTTGGTATAGCTACCGGTTTCGGGTAGGACGACCAAGGGATCGGAGTTCGAGTCCAGTTAGGCTCAAGAATTTTGTCTTCTCCACGCAGTCCAGAACAGTTCTGGGCCCAACCAGCCTCCTATCCTGTGGGAAACGGGAACTCTTTCCCCCGGGAAAAGCGGCCGAGGCCTGAAGCTGACCACTAACTTCCAGCTACTGTCGAGGTCAAGTAAATGTGACTCTATACATCCACTGCCCTTTCGCCTTCATGGTGTAATGCTTAATTAGTCAAGCACAGGGACAACTTATTCTCTTTTTCCTTATTGGTTTCATCTATGGTGAATTGCAGCATTCTGGAGAACAAACGCCATGACAATAGTATTTTAACTGAATTACGAAAAAGCATTTCCTGAATTACTACTCCCATCAAAGTTGTTATGAATGCCATTTCTGGGCGGCTTGCATATCATGACATGTATACGGAGCTACTTGTAAGAAGATTTCGCTTGTGATGCTCATTAAACAACACGTGAACCGCCACTGCTGTGCTCGGGTCTGTATTGGTATTATTAATCTCTTTTTGACAGGTTTGACCCCAGTATCACGCGTAACCAAGCTCAATTGGAACCACTGAATCAGTCCCTGGTCGATTATTGATCAGACGTCACACCTATACCGTGCCTAGAACACCTTTTGAGGTTACGTCATTGTCAGATGGTGAGGTATCTGCATACGTCATGTTCACATCATTATCAGCATGTTGTCTATCTATCTATATACCTACCTACCTACCTATTTACCTATCTATCTAAGCGGCCTCCGTAGTCTAGGGGTAACGTTCCCACCTCGTGACTCAAGGTAGGCGGGTTCAAACCCGGCGGAGGTCGTGGAATTTTTAAGGGCGGAAAAATTCAGGGAACAAGTCCTCCGGGAGGGACTTTAAGCCTTGGGTCCCGTGCGGCACGTAAAAATCTTCATGTCCCAAGGGGACCACTGACCAAATTCAGGACATTTCCCGCCCAACAGTAGTCTCTAACGCCTCTGGTAGATGGGGGAAGCATCGAGATACCGCTGAGCCAGTAGAGGACGAACTCGCTGGCTGAGTCGGGACTGATGGCACGCACCAGTACCGGTAGGGAATAGAGACTGGTAGAATATCATAGGGGGATGCACAATGGACCAACAGTTGGTCTAAGTGCATGGGGAAACCCACCCTCTCCAAATACAATACAATACAATACCTATCTATTTATCTACCTACCAATATACCTCTATCTATCTACCTACGTACCAATATAATTCTATCTCTCTATCTATCTATGGTTCTACAACTCTTGTGGAAATTCGCCGCTTTTTTAGTTTCTTACTCTACAATTAGTCGTTAGGATTCCTTGGACGGGGGATCAGCCTCTTTCAGGAGCCATGTCTACACACAGAATAACACGAACACAGAATAAATGCACAGCGACATCCATACGTTGAGTGGGATTCAAACCCACGATCCCAGTATTCGAGCGAGCGAAGGCAGTTCATGCCTTGGACCGCGCGGCCACTGTAATCGGCACCAGGAAGTCACTAGATTATATTTTCAGCGTATGCTGGGATCCAAAATCAGCAAACCACAGATCTCGTTGGACATAGAGGAATCTTCTTCCTTAAAGTTACCTGCTCAAGGCATGACGTATCTCCGAAGATGTATTAGACAGACAAGATTAATATTGTGACGAATATGTACATTGCTAGTCAACGGCTCGGTAAGCACGTTGTCGTGTCAACGAAGATTCAAGAATCTTTCCACGGATACGGAATAGCAACAGAACAGCAGTCTATTATTTCCTCTGCAACAGATACAAGAGGCCAAAACCCGAACTTTTCAGTGTGGTGTCCCCTGTTCGGTCCTCCAGAAGTTATAAAAGAGAATTCATTCGTGAATTCAAAAGATTCATTCGTCAGAAAATTCAGAAGACATTCCTATAATTTAGTATTCAGCTGTGTAGTGTTAACGAGATAAGATTCGTTATCAAGCAACGACTAGCAAGCAGATGTTAAAGACTTTTTTTTTGCTTGCATTAGTTACAATAATCTTTAAAGTGTTACAATTGTTTGAAAATACGACCTGCGAGTGTCCAGTAAATCTATTCTCCTATTCAAACCCCGTCTACAGACACTAATAAACGTGATAGTATCATCTAGAGAATAGTTAAAAAATATCTTGATCATTTCACGCGATCGAGTGCTTACCATTCCTGCAACCTCGTAATGAAGTCCCGGTTTCAAATATAGACTCGGAAACCGGCATTCCTGACTGAGGTTTCTTCCAGGTTTTCTTAAGTCCCTCAAAGGTAAATGCCGATGTAGCGCCTCATATTGGGAAACGACCGCTTTCTTCCATATCCTTCCCAATTCATCATTCGCCAGTTATTCTACCTTTCAACCGCATATAATGTAGCATATATATTAGCATCATTGAATAAACGAGAAACAAGCACGTAAATAAACCAGAGCATTTCTGAGCCGGTTGTATCTTCCTTAGCGAGAAGTGTAATGTGATTCTAAACTGCTGTTGGAATTTCCGCGGCCTATAATTTTCAAACCGCAAACAACAAGATGAAACTGTGCGTGCTGAAGTTGTTTAGCATTCTGCAGCATTGCTTTTATAGTTACTCATGGAGCTGAGCCCTTCTTGAGAAGCCGCCAATTTTGCAGCTACTCAAGAATTTCCCAGCATTTTATGGAACCCGAAGGTCCACTACCGTGTTCACAAGAGACCTCCACTGGTCCCTATCCTGAGCTAGATCTATCCAATCCATACCATCCCATCCTATCTCTCTAAGATCCATTCTAATATTGTCCACCCACCTACGCCTTGGTCTTTCCCGTGGTCTCTTTCCCCCTGGCTTTCCCACCAATATCCTATACGCATTCTTCGTCTCCCCATTCGTGCTACATGACATGCACACCTCATCCTCCTTGACTTGATTATTCTCATTATACTTGGAGAAGAGTACAAATTATGAAGCTCCTCATTATGAAGTTTTCTCCAACCTCCTGTCACTTCATCCCTCTTCGGTCCAAATATTCTCCTCAACACCCTGTTCTCAAACACCCTAAGTCTATGTTCCTCCCTTAATGTCAGAGACCAAGTTTCACACCCATACAGAACCACAGGCAAAATTATAGTTTTTTATATTCTAATTTTTCTTTCATAGATAATAAAACTATTTGAGTTACATTTTCATATTACACAATCAGTTTTAATTTTGTTGCTCCGGTTTGAAAATTATAGGACACGGAAATGCGACAATAATTTAGAATCACCTTGAATTTTCGTCATCCCTACATAACGATCCCCAGACTGAAGTATTTTCTTTTCTTTCCTTACTTCCTCCGGGAAGAAATTCATTTCAATTATGGCGAGTGTAACTCATCCCTAATGCTAAGACGGAGATACCAGAAGAACATTAATTATGCTGGCATATGTGAGTAAAAAGGAACCGTGAGTCCTGCATAACAATTGCGAACACTAAACTAACTTCATTGAATGAGACAGCTGGCTTTTATTAATAAGAAACTGTCCCTGTGCTTACGCACCACTCGAAGAGAAAGTGAAAGTACAGCTGTCAGCATCTAGTGGTCTAATTCAAGCTGTGGACGTTTCAATTCCTTGAATTAAAAATCAAATTCCACAATATCTTGGCAGTACAAAGCAGAGATAGGGGCCCAGTGCGCATATACACACATCCAAGGTCGATATTCAGCACCTTGTGGATCGCACGGGACGTTCGATATATCGAGTCTGACCTTCACAACATTCACTGCCCTTGGCCTAGAGAAGACAAGGTGACAAGAGGCCAGTTCACACTATACGTTACATCGCCCAGGAACCGTCAGCGGGGTGGCAAAATATTCTCTGACGAGTTTGTTCACATCAAAAGTCAACGATGCGGACAGCCACTGACCGGCAACGGTTAGCAAAGTTCGGAGGAATA